CGGCCCGTCAGTGTGCAGGAAACTGAGGAAAGCGGCAGCAAGGGAGAGTGGAAGTGGGTATGTGGGAGTGTGTGACCTGTGCCAATGTCCTGGGGCCAGCACAAGATGGCTGGAGCACAGGGAACAGGCAAGGAGAGAGGGAAGCTGGCCCAGCTCCACAGAGCCCCTGCCAGCCAGGACACTGGTGTGGGCCCCATGCTCCCACCCAGCTTTCACATACCTGCTCACTCCCACTCCCTGCCCCCCAGCCCTGCAGTACAGGCAGGAATGAGCATGTGCAGCCATGACCCCACGTGCCCCATGCTCACCCATCCGGGCTGAGCAGTGGCAGTGCAGGACAAGCTGCTGCTCAGTGTGGGGGGAAAGTGGCCCCTCCCCTCCCAGTGCTTCTTGCTACAGCTACCCAGAGCCCACATGGGGCTGCCCTGCATCTCCACCGCATCACTGCTGCCTCTGAGTTGCCTCACGGGGCAGCACAAAGCAGACACAGGGCAGCCCCACATGACTCTGAATGGCTGTACCACGAAGCACCAGCAGTGGAAGGGGCCACTATCCTCCCACACTAAGCAGCAGTTTCTCTCCCACACTGCCACTGCTGAGCCTAAGTCCCAAGGCCAGCTCCAGGCTTGGCCATCCAGGCTAAGCAGCAGCAGCAGCAGCAGCAGCAGCAGCAGATGTGGCTGGGCAGAAACTGCTGCTTGGCGTGAAGGAAAGTGGCCCTTCCCCCTTACCACTGATGAGCAGTTTTTGGTGAGGCTACCTGGAGTCCACACCATGCTGGGCTGCCCTTCAGCTCTGTTACTGTTGCCTCTGAGCTGCCCAGCATGGCAGTGGTCACAGTGTGGAGCAGCTACAGGGCAGCTCATGGGTGGTAGTGATGGAGCTGCAGGCAGGTACCGGGCAGCCACAGCAAAAACTGCCCAGTGAGGGGATGCTTTCCCCCATGCCGAGCAGCAGTTTCTGACCAGCTGCTGCTGCCACTGCTGAGCCTGAATGGCCAAAGCCAGAGCTGGTGCAGAGCACAAAGGTTCACGACTATGTGCGCTTGTCCCTGCTGCGTGCTCAGGGGCAGCAGGACACACCACAGCCAGGCAGTGCAGAGCAGACACGGGACATACTGGGGCTGCATGCTGTTGGTGGTGGCGGGGAGGTGTGCCACAGGGCACTCTGGCTCCAGGCTTTTGTGGGGCAGGGGTGGGTGCTGACCAGCTCAGGCAGCTCCCACGCACACCCCACATACCCTCAAACTCTTCCATCAAACCCCACAGCCACACCCTCTTCCACACACAAACACAGTCCCCCCACCCCCCAAATACCATATCCACATACACAGACATCCACACATCCCCACAAATGTACCTACCCACAGCTCCCCACAAACCGCACACCCACCCACCCACCCACCCATATCCCCTGGAACCCTTGCACATCCCACATACTATACAAGAGTAAGACTGCATTTTAAGCTATTATGCAATCACTTCCACATATACAACATAAATGCACAAATCAGGACAAAAATATTTTTAAAATGAAATTAAAATATATTATTATGGGTATTTGATTTTTAGTATATATGGGGTTTTTTCCCATTCTAAGATAGCAAACCCTCTTCCCCAAAGGAGTACTTCCAGGGGCAAGGGGAGGGACTTCTGGTGGCAAAGGTTAGGGGTGGGACTCCCAGTCCCAAGATAGTGACCAGGTGGTGGGGCACCTGTCAAGGGGTGGGGCTCCCCATGCAACCCTCAACAGCTTGCTACAACTTGGTAAGTGGCCCTCCATCCAAAATAATTGCCTGCTCTTGGTATAAAGGGAGATGGAGGGGGAAGGGGGGACTGCCCTGGGCACAGTCCCTGCCAGTTATGCCTCTGCCTCTTGCTAAAAGCACTGCCTGGGATAAGTAAGGTAGAAACCTGGTCATCTCTCAGTTTACATTTAAGAGCTGTTAAAGGACAACACCAGAACCACCAGCTCTGATGACGCTTACTCGGTCCTGGACAACAAATAGACCCGATTCAATCAAGGGGCATCAAAGCCTGCCAAGACTTGAAGAAGCTTCCTGGGAAAACAGGTTTTAAAAGTACTCTTTCTTGAGAGTATAAAGGAAAAACTAAGCAAGACAGTCAGACTAGAACTCACAGTGAAAAACCTAAACCTAAACCTGCCTAAGAACCAGCTGTGGGTTGATAAATACTGAAGTAAGACTGACAGGTCTAGAGATTACTTATGTAGCACTGGACTCTCTTCCCAAAGCTACATATAAACACTCTCAAGGTGGCTGTTGGTCACTCTATCAATAGTCACAGATTCCTGAATGGTTTTGAGCACCTGTATCTCTTCCCGTTCAGACCTGCAGGGAAATTATCCAACCTAAGTGCTTTTTTGAAACCCTCCCCTTTCCTATAGAAACTAACTTCTTTACAGTCTTTAATTTATTTATCCTTGCAACCTGCTGCATAAGGTAAAAAATTGCTATTATCCCCATGGTACAAATAGACAAATGAAGTACAGTATAAAGATGCTACAGGCCAGATCGTAACAGTATTGAGGCACCTGATTCCCACTGGTTTCAAATACCTTGTAAACGCCTTTGACAACGTGGGACTAAGTGACTTGCCCAAAGTCACAGAGAAAAACATGTGGCTAGGGATTTGAACACTTGTTTCCACAATTGTAGGACAAGACGATCATTCTTTCCCCCTTGGCAGTTGGTACACACAGCATACCAGTCTCTGAGTGGAGAAACTACATGGTTCCACACTGACAAGGGTACGGGCAATAAGTCTGTCCCTACTAGAAAAGGAAAGAGAGCTTTGTACCTGCAACATCATATAAAGGGACTAAGCTAAGAGGGTGGTCAAATGAGGAGACTACAAACTTACATGAGCTTTTCCAGTTTCATTTCTCTTTCCTGATCCTCAATTTTTAATTTATCATAATCCGCACTCAGTTTCTCTTGTTCCAGTTGCAGCTTCTGATTCATGCTAAAATGAGAAGGGGGAAAATCCAGTGAACTTGGTACTGACCATTTTAGGGCAAATAAATAACAAAACTTTGATAACTAAAGCAGAGTTCACCACAGAGAATGATGCTGTGATTCTCTCTTATCCAGGTTTAAAGCTGGAGCAGGTTTGCTACATTTGAATCTCTCAGCTCTTTCACAAATAACAATATGAATGTGCCAGTTGCTGCCCTTCTGAACCATTCCCCTTTTGAAAGGACTCCAAGCATGTGTGTATCCACACTCAAATACACTTTGAGGGATTACATTAACCAAGATGAAATGAAAATGTAGTGCCAAGTGAGAATACTACAGGTCCTGAAATAGAAAGCTACTGGCGTGCCAGAAAGGTTGTGACAGGACCAGTCAGTTGGTAGTGGTGCTAAAACCCTTTATTTTTCCAATTCATTTTCTTCTAGTAATATTTTTCTTGCCTGTATATTTCTATTATCTGATACCTGTTATCTATATTCTGTCCTTCTCTTCTCCACTCTGCAATTCTTTTTTATTAAAGCAGATACACAGAAAGCAAAAGAACAATTTAATGCATGAGATACTATATATACTATCCTAGTTTTATCTTCAAATAAATACAAATAGCCATACAGGGAAAATGTGCTGCTGGATTTTAAAACCCTGACATACATCAATACCGATGTAAATACACAATCTCTGAGGCCATGTTTAGACAGCAAATTTATTATGCCTTGCATCAGGGCCTCAAACATGTCACAGTGCTCTGTATGTGTTCCTGACTGGACCAGAAGCAGGTTAATGGATTTTATGCAGCACCAAGGTTGGACTAATTGGCACTGAATATCATCCGTGTTCACCAGCCCTCAGCAATGCATGGACTTGCCTAGACAATATGTGCAGAACCATATGGCACTGCTGTTGGCACAGTAAGTTTGCAGGCTAGACATGGCTATAGTGTCATCAGAAAAGTACAAGAGAAAAGACAGTGACAGGAAGAAAGCAAGTGAGCTTACTCTCTTATTTCATCAATTATTTTCTGCTTCTCTTCAATCTCATCTCGCAGCCTGGACAGCTGCTTCTGATGGGCTTCCCTGTGACTCTCCATCTGCTGCTCCAGTGCCTTCTGTAGTTTGCAAAGACCAAAACCAAACACAAAACAGAAAGTAAGTATGCTTCCATTATTCTATTCCCCTTTGTTAACTTATATCTAAATTGAGCTTTTTTTCCAATTTAAAAACAGGTCAAATCAGAACTTTGCTCAAGATAGCCTAATAAATGCCATTTTGTGTATAAATACCATTTTGTGTATATCACTAAGTGCTTAATTCACAAACATGCATGTGGCTTCTATTATTGGGGAGGCTTGATTTCTGTCACCTTGCAAGGAGTGATACATACAGACCACAAAGTGCATTGGTGAGGTATAGTCTATGATTTACAATTGCTCCTGCCATTCTCCTGTATCATGGTACCTATTTGCTCACCAGGAAAATCTTTGACCTATTTATACAGAGGAAGGCTTACCCATAACCCTATTACTGAACTCCTAGAGCTAAAGCTTCATCAAGTAATAGAGAAAGCTACCTTATAATCTCTTCTTGATTTGATATTACACAAGACATTTTTTTCTCTCCAAGCACATGGAATAAGTCTGTGTGATTATGTAACCTAAGCATTAAGTATTTCAATTGGAAGTCAAATTCTTGACGATGTACAACAGTAGCTGTCCCTGTAAAGCATTTTTTGCCTTTATACATACTGTGTAATCTTCATCAAAAAACACCAACACACTGCATTATCATCTAATATTTCATCTTCACATTCTATATGTAAAACAGAAAGAAGGAATAATGTGTTTTGGCTTTGTATTTCACTTACTCATTTCTAGAAGGAGGTATTCAAAGTTCTTTACAAATCAACCTGGCTTGTCTTTATTATATTTCAATATCCAAATTACATTAACCAGTATGATCCCATTCATCACTTACCTGATAAGACATCATAGAGTTTTAGCTGGTATAAAACTAGAGAAATGCAGTGGTGAACTGGGCTTGGATTTCCATTCATATGTAAGGAAATTGTTCCCAATTACTGGTGGTATTTAAGCCTTGAATTTGTGCTCAGAAAGAAGAATGGGTGTAAACCCATTTGATTAAATCTGTGGAATTAACTCATCTGACTGGACCTCTTCACTTTTAATTGAGTTTAGCTCTGCTTTCAACACATTCTCAAAAACAGCCACCTCTGATATTCTGTCTGTAATTTACTTCTTCCTTTGTTCACATAGCTCTACTCTACCTAGGTCTATCCCATCAAGATGGAAAGGTAAACGGGCTACAAGACAGGCAGATTTTCTTATAAGAACTGTATGAGTATCACTGATTCTAATGTTTATTCAAAAATGAATGGGTATAACATGTGACTGAAGGCAGAATCTAACCACAAGTGTGACAGACCTTGGTGAGAAATATGCTCCGTAACAGGCAACATTACCTTCATTTCCTCTGCATCCTGAAGTAAAGTCAGATGCTCCTTCTCCTTATCCTTGAAGCTGACTTCATGCATTTTTTCTGTTTATGATTAAAAAGAAAATGTAAAGAATTAACCAATGCCTGCCCCAATGCTTTGAACGTGAGACCAAAAAAAGAAAAATTTCTCCAACAGTTTCTTTTTCCAGAAGTATAGTATTATTAAGAATTCAGCACACAAAGTGACCGTCTTAGGTAGACTTTCAACGGTAACAAAATGAAAAGGTATATGATCTATGCACTAACAATGATTTGGTGAAAATGATAATAGAGGGCTGGTCCCAGACTTGCAATGCTCTATGTGTAGTGACATGTGGATACACTAAGTCATCTCCTTTTCCACCACACACAAGTGCACACCACGTTTGTGTACCTACATATTTCCAGCCAATTTTGTCCTCTTGCAACTCTACCCAACTCTCCTTTGGCCATCATGATTCCTGTCCTCCCCTTCCACCATTTGCTAGACATCCAAGTTCTTGGGTGCCACACCCCTCCCAGGACTGGCTGAGAAAGCCATTAAAGAACAATTTCTTTGTCACAACCTGCTGCTCCCAGAGTCCAGGAAGACCTCCTGAAAAGGCATATGGAATTCATATGGGTGATGTTCAACATTCTGGTTGAACATCACCCCATTACATGGTAGAAAACAGGGCCTTATCATAGTGAAAGGGCAAAAGAAACAATGTTTTTAAATACATTGCTACATCTTACTAGAATAACTTAAGTTGCTTTTTGTAAAATGAAGCCTGTGTTAGCTGGTCATTCGGTAGCTGCTGGAAGAGGGATATGCTGCTTGGGATCAAATAAAGGATCCATAGGGTTGTAAGGAATAGCAACCATGGTTATTCGACAAAAATCCAAGAATTTTACAACATAATGAAGAAATTTGTGAAAGCAAAGGCTTGGTTCTTGACTGCTTACATTTCAGTGTTCAAAAGTCTGGCCCACTTTATAGTTTCCATTCTTTCAGTAATGAAACCCACAGAATCCAGAGCATTGATTAGACAGCTGTGGATTAACTTTGTTTTGTAAGGTGAGCATGGTGCATGCTGCAAATCACTAAAATAGGGTGTACATTTAATCCAAGTCACAGTTGTACTGTTTGACCGCAAAGAATTCAGGAAAATTTTATAAGCGGGGGAACCATTCATTGTCAAACGTGCATATTCAGATCTCCCATCCCTGTTACATTCCTGCAGCCTCTTCAGAGTTCATTTTTGTTAAATGAAGACCCTCTGTAATGATTATGATTGGACAAGTGAATTAAAATCTTACTTGTCCAATCTGATTTAGCCATGTTATACCTCTGGCAATGGAAGGAAGGAGGGGGGCTTTCCTTTTACAGAAGGAAAGCTACAAAAAAAGTGACATCTCCAGAACAACTGCCTAACTTGTATAGTACTGAATTTTCTAGTCTGTAGTCGGCAGACGCCATTGATTAGAAGACACTGAAGAGCATGCATTAAGAACAATACCTTGAGCACGCAACTTGGCAAGTTCTTCATTAAGCGAGTCCTGTGACTCCTCCAGTTGCCTTCTCTTCTGTTCCATATTTTGCATGTAGTCTGTCAGAGACTTGATCTTTGCTTCATGCTTTAAAAGAAAACCAGTAAGCAGCAATAAGATATAACTAGCTATGCCTGTTATCTTGAGACAAATGGGCTTGATTCCTCATGTTAAGAAAAGCAAGAAAGCTTTATGCATCTAGAGCTATCTACTGAGAGATAATGAAGTAGAGGATCTGAGACAGAGGTAACACACAAAGCAATGTTAATGGTTACTGGTCATATTTAATAAACAAGATCTACACTGAAATCAAAGCATGGGAAATTTTCAAAATGCTGTAAGGAGAACATCACTGGCTTGTTATCAAGGCACAGCAATAGTCTAAATGGGGGGTGTTGGGTTAGAACAGAAAACACACTGGTGTAACTTCCCAGACATTGAAAGCTATACTAAAAATCTCACTTATAGATCAACAGCAATCCTAATTATTTGGCCATATTTTTGTAAACATCTCTGCAACAAAAAGGCCATTTTAATACTTAAAAATAGTAGTTCACATTTTAAAAGGCAACCTGTATTCCATTTGGAATCTAAAAATCAAATTCCCAGTTTCTGAGTCGGAGCTACTGCATTTCTATTGATGAGGTCTTCAAGTTTTTATAAAACACTGTCCTCAGCACAGACAAGAAGTCTAGAGTTCACATTACATTTCCCTATTAAATATCATAATAGGTGATAACCGTGGATCCTGATTTCCTCTGTTAAAAAAATCCCAAATTCCCTGATTAAAGTGTGGGGGGGAGAATCTGAAATTCAGATTTAAAAAACCAAAATCCATGTTTTTCCATGATTAAAATGAAACAGTACTATATATAGTGATCAGTTAAACACAATGTTTTAATAATTTACTTACAATATTAAAGCAATTTGGAAGCCTACCAGTGCCTCTATCATTATAATAAAATCAATGCTAAATACCTATATATTTTGGCATTTGCTTTTGTTTTTTTTATCATGGAAAATCAGAGCTTCCCCACTCCCTTTGCTCACCAGGATGCAGGTCCAGCTGCAGCTGTCCCCTGTGCTGCTTTATGGCATATTGGGGCTGCTCAGTGCCAATGCCCTGCCCATACCATTGCCCCTCACTCCCTAGTCTGTCTATTTAGTTAACCTATCCTTAATTAAGCACACCCAAAAAAGATTGTTTAAAATGGTGCAAACCTTCCCTCTGTTCTCCCTCTCTTTGCCTAGTTGTAAGCTCTTCAGGGCAGAGGCTTTTAGTCTGGACAG